TCGCCACCCTGGGGCTGTGGCTGCTGTGGCTGTGGCTGCTGTGGCTGGTGCGTGGGTGGGGGTGGTGCCGATGAGCTGCTGGACGACGAAGGCTGCTGCAGGTGGTGGTGCGATGACTGCTGCGCCGTCATTTTGGCCATCCTGACGAGCAGAATAGCATGCAGGGAGATGGATGCTCGTTCTGGGCGAGTCTGTGCGCGCATTGCTTACGTCCATTGCGCCTCTTGCAGCTGCCGTACTAGCGCCTCCTCCTTCTTCCTGGCCTCTCGAGCCCTCCGTTTGGCCTCCTGGTCTTTTTGTTTGGCCTCCTGCTGAGTCCGCTCGAGCTGGCGGCACAGCTGATCCACTCGATGCTCGCTATCAGAGGGACCGCCCGCAGTCATCACCGCACCAGACCTACACAAGTAGAGAGCAAAGAAACAGAGTGATCCATGGCATCAGTGTCCCTTCTGCCTGCCTGCCTTGATGTACCCTGTGGATGGCCCGCCATTGCTGCCGTGTACCGCTCCGTCCGCCTGAGCCGCAGCGAAGGGGTCGGCTGCACTGCCCGATGAGGCCGGCTGGTGTCTGTCGTCATCCTCATACTCGAATATGGGCGGCGGTGGCGGCACATACATGTCATCACCACCAATGTTATCATAGAACGGGTTAGCCGACAGCCCACCACCACCAGCCGCAGCCGCAGCCGCCGCAGCAGCCGGCGTTGGGCTGGACGGGAAGGGCTGGGGGAAACCGAATGGATGTGCGGAAGGAGCGCCGGACGCCTGTGGGCCGCCGTTGTAGCTGACAGGGAGAGGGGGACCCATCGGAAGGAAATCACTGCACAGAACAGCAGGCAAGGTGGAATCCATAGAAGCGTTGCTGACAGACAGACATCCTGCCCGTGTTACCTTGGGTCGATCGGTGGCTGTGGTGGGGGCGGCGGTGGAAAGGCCGGCGGGGGCGGCACACAGTACATGTCTGCCTCGTCATAGAATGGATCAGCCGACAGCCGACCACCACCATCGGCGGCAGCAGCTGCAGCTGGTGGTGCGGCCCCGACAGGCGCATGGGCGAAGAAGCGACTCATCGAAGGACCAGCAGCAGACAGACTGCGGACACAGCGTAGGAGAAAAGCCATCATTGCGATCCGATCACGGCGTTCACTGTCTGCGGCCATCTCACCTCGGCCTCTCGGCACGTGTCGGCTGCTGTTGGTCGTCTTGTCCAGTGTGCCGCTGCAGCGATGGCCCGTTGCGCAGCTCCTCGGCCGACGGGAGTCGGGGGAAGGGGATGGAGGGAGGAGGGGACGGCTGGTGGGCAAACATGGTCATGAGGCCCCTGCCCGCCCCACGACCTCCCACAGGCCGAAAGGGAGGCGACGCACCGCCAGATGGACTGTCATCGTCAGACAGCAGTGGCGATGGACGCTTCGGCAGAGGAGGGGCCATCCGGCCATTGCCAGGTGACATCTTGAAGCGGCCCTTGGGGAACTGGGCGCTTGAGAGGGGAATGGGGGCGGGCATCCGGATGGGGGCATTGCCGCTGCGATAACGGGGCTCATTGGCGGCAGGTGTTGGGCGCCCCGTCTGATTGGTCCTGAGTGCTGGTGGGAGTGAGGGGCGGGGCGGCTGACTCGGCTGAAGTGTGGGCGTCGGTGTGGGCTTGGTGGCGTGTTTGGCCTGAGCCTTCTTCTTGCCCTCGCTCAGCTGTTGCCGTGCATGTTGTCCGAACGCCGAGTTGAGCAGCATAGCGTCGCCGTCTTCATTATCGCTGTCACCGTCGCTCCCACCAGCCACCGACTTCGCTGCATCGCCACCATCACCAGGCAGGTCGCTGCCCGCAGCGGCTGACACGGATGGCACACCAGACGCACCAGACCTGCAAAGAAAGAGATCGACACGCTCACAGAGGAAGCGAATGTGTCAGGGCATCTCGTCAAGTGGGTGGATTGCTCACGTGTCGGCGATGGACGAAGAGGGCTCCGGCTGACTCGCCTCAACCTCATCCGCAGCAGAAGCCCGACTGCACACACACAGACATGAGGCAAACACTCCCGCCAGCCATGGTCTGTGGATGGCTTTCCTACCTGGTGGATGCGGCAGTGGAGGGCACTGACGGCTCAATCACCATATCGGAGGGCCTCGCCGCATCCTCACCTGCAGCCTCCTGCTGCTCCTTGCCGCCCTTATCCTTTTTGCCCTTGCCCCTGCCCTTGCTCTCGCTCTTGGCTTGGCTGGCCTTCTGGTCCTTTTTCTCTTTGGCCTCCTTCTCGCGTCGCTCCTCCGCGAGGAGGGCCTCTTGCATCCGCTTCGCCTTGGCCTCCTGGGCCGCCAACTGGGCCGCCGTCAGGGGCGGTGGGGTGGTGGGCTTGGCCTTGGTGTCTTTCTGGTGCTGCAGGGCGAGGCCATCGAAGAATCCCAACACCTGTATATGGGGCAGAGCAGAGAGAGGTGAAGAGGAGGACCTCGTGCTGTGCAGGAGTGCTGCCTACCAGTTGTGAGACCTCCATGTCACTGCTGTGGTCACGCATCGCCTTGACCGACTCGAACTGACATGGCGGCACACAGACAGTCGGAAAGGCACAGCACACACGACCCTCGGTTAACGTACCTGTAGTATCTGCCCGACGATGGGATTCGGCGCGCCTCTGGCGACCTGCGACCTGCCATGGCTGCCATTAATCACACAGCCACAAACAGACACACTCAATCACACGTCGGGCTTTCTTGGCTGCAGCACATGGCTGACCTGACGATGCTGCTGAGGATGTCGACAGCAGTAGCGCGGTCAGTGTCGTGGAAGACGTCTGCGGGAAGGAGCTGTCTTCTGGCGTCTTTGAGCAGCACGTCACATATCGCCTCTGCCAGTCCATCGGTCCCCAACACCTACACACAAACAAACGCAACACGGCACTCGTCAAATGAGATGGAGGTCGGTGACCCTCCTTTGCTGACCTTCCGATCTCTCTGACTGAGTTTCTCGATACAGCGCATGCAGAGGACCAGCAGCTGCATGTCGATCCTGTCGGCCCTCTCAAAGAAGAGGATCAGACAAGTCACGAACCTCGACTCGATAAAAGCGCCAGCGTCCCCATCATCTGCACACCCACACACATGGTTCAAGGATTGTGGGAGGTGCACCGACTCACTGACTGACGGACGACCTATCATGGCCATGGCTGGGATGACCAGAGCAGTCGTGATGCAATCTGCCAAGGAGCCCGATGACTCCTTGTACGCTCTGTAGTCCATGTCCAACGCGTTGGCCACCCGATCCAACGCGTCTACCCCCAGGACGAAGGCGCGAAGCGGCTGCATCGGGGGCGGGGCAGCACCGAGTGTTTTCACCACTCCCGCTTGCTCGATGTACTTGCCGAAGCCACCTGGCTGCAAAGGGCCACCTGCACACACAAATCCATCTTTACCCCACGAGCCATCAGTCTCTTACACCTCATACCTTTCTTCTTTCGCATGCAGAGGATGAGAGCGATTCTGATGAAGACCCCTGATGTGGGGATCGCCGCGAAGCACAGGGGAGAGGCAGGATCGGACGCCGCGATGAGGGCCACCAGCCTGTCCAGATGAGCGTAGACGTGTGCGTTGAGAGCCGCTTTGATGGCCGGCCACTCCTCCACAAAGTCTGCCAAGACACAGGACAGCAGCCTCGTCCAAAGAACGCATCCCACGTGCACTTTCCTCACGGTCGCGAGGGGAGTCCCACAGATAGTCTGCGGCACACATCAGTGGCAGTACTAAGAGCCTCGTCCTCGCTGATTGCTCATCTCGCAGCTGCGTCAGGCTCTCGACGAAAATGGAGAAGGACTCGAGAACGAGTTGAATTGACGGGCCGAAGGGGCTGGGCTCGAACAGCGACTTCAGCATTATGACTGCCTGGTTAGCGAGATGTGCGTGTCTGCACCCCCGAATGACATCCATCGCCTGCCGGAGGGTCGTTTGGTGGGTCTGGAAGAAGCTCTCGCGAAGCTGGGGCCCTCCTGCCGCCTCGAGGGCGGTGGCCGCGTGAAGAGCGTATTGCATCAGGTGCAGTCTCACATACGTCACGACGTCGACGGGCCGGGGCAGCGGCTCGTCGCATGACGATGCCTTGACGAAAGCATGCGCGATGTTGCTGTCGACCTCCCCGCCCAGGTCGCCCCCCTCCCCTCCTCCCTCCTCAAGCTCCCTCCACGTCACGGTCTCGAAGATGGCCTGGACGGCCGACACACGATCCGACGGGGCCATGTGCTCCAGGAAGCCATGAGCGAAGAGGCCGATCAGCACGTTAGCGGCCGCCAGCTGACATTTCTTGTTTCCGCTATCCGCCAGGCGCATCAGGACGCGGCGGAAAAGTCCCCCCCCTTTTCCGAACCTCACGGCCAGTCGCTTGGCCAATGCACTCGTCACATGAACAGTGATGCATTTGGCTGCCGCAGTGAACGTCTCGATATTGTCAGATAGCAGGCCGTCCACCAACGCATCGATGTCGACGGGCGATGAGGACTGCGGGGAGGAGGAGCGCCGTGGCGAGAACGGCCCTGACGTCTGATGGGTGTGCATGGCTGTCTTGTGGTTGGCTAGGCGGTGGGATGGGTCCATCGCAGGGGAGCTGCTGCACACGGTGGCCCTCTTGGGCAAGGATTCAATGAACAACGACGCCTGCACAAACGAGAGGATGGTATCAGCAGAGAGGTATCCATCGACTGGTTTTGTGTGGTCGTGCGTCCATCGGCTCATGTGCGAGATCGTGTGGTTTCGTTGGCTGCGTCGCTCACCTCTGCTGAAAGGTCACGGCGGACTCGCAGCTGCTGTATCGCCTCGCACTGGCAATAGACCACAGACAGACAAACAGACAGACACGGACACATTGCGATCGACTTATGGCCGCATGATCCATCTTCCCCGCTCGGTGTCCACCTGAACGATTTGGTCGACGAACGGGTTTCTTGTGGCCATGCCCTCAGTGACCAATTCATCACCACACCTGCCGGACAGCCCATGACAGATTCAGATGCATGCAGCGTGTAGGGCCAACTCCCACCGTCTACCCGCTCACTTGATCAGCTGCTGCAGAAGGCCCAGGATACAGTCGACAGGTGCCACAGATTCGGCTAATAGCTGGCAGAGAGCTTCTACCACTCGATGGCCTGAATCAATGTCGCCCGAGCCTGTGAAGGGAAGCACAGCACACACCCAACTCTGTCTTCATATGTTCGCTCGTGGCCCGTCCCGCGCCTCTCTCTCGCTCTCTCTCCATGGTCATCCTGTCTGACTTGTAGCTGATCTTGCCGGTATCTTCAAACAGGCGAGCATTGTGGGGTGGAAGTTTGACCATAGCTCAGTGTCGTTGTCAGGAAGGGCGTTGGCCGCTTTAACAGCTCTGATGATCAGCGAGGGGTTGTCAACCAGTAATCGGCATGACGACAGGGGCAAAGGGGGGAGAGAGTGCCACTGCCTTCTCAGTGCGCAGACGCCCGTCATGATGGCCCCAGCGTCACAGCCGCGACAGCCAACAGCCCTTCTTCTGCCGAGGCGATGATGCCCACGAGCTTCGCCACGTGAGAATTGAGGTGTTCCTCGACCAGCCGCTTGACGTCCTCCTCGCGCAGAACTGAGGGACGGTTGCACACACACACACACACACACACACACAGTCTTTGAGTGGTCGGCCAGTCACTCGCTCATCAATGTGTGCATCTTACATGGGGCCTGCGGCGACAGCGTAACTGCAGCGACAACCACACCAGGCAGCTCCAGCGCCCGCCGCCATCCCTGTGGGTCCATGTGGGTCGCCCCCTCCGCCAGCTTCAGCAGGTGGTCAACCAGCAGGCTGAACAGTGGGAGGGAGAGATGTAGGGGGATATCGGGGAGCTCGTCATCCACCAGATGTTGCAAGACGGCAAGCGCCGTCCTCGAAATAGACCCCTCCATGTCGGTGCGCATGACGGTCAGGCACTGCTTGAGGGTCGTCTGATGACTGGCGAGGAATAAGTCGCGTAGACGAGCGCCCTCGTCCGGTACAGCATCATACAGAGCATGAATCACCTCCGCGAGAAGCGCCAGCCGCAGGTACGTCACGACATCCACTGCAGCATCAGCTTTGACGGCGTGTTTGACGAATAGGCTCTCGTCCGGCCCATAGCAGCGGCTGCCGCCCTCTGCGGCCTCCCTCCAGGTCACCACATCCACAACAACACCAGCCACATCCACCAGCTGAGATGGCTGCAACGCCGCCAGTGCGGGCCTGATCTCCGGCATAAGGAAGAGCAGCAGATCTGCCGCAGCCAGCTGAGTCTCTGGATTGCCGTTATCCAGCAACCAGGTGAGTATGCGGCGCAGACCTTTGTCTGCGAGAAAGCGACGGAGCAAATCTCGGCCCCGCTTTCTGCTGAGCCTCTCGTTGACGCATGCATCAGCTACTTTCCGTGCTGCAGCTGTGAAGGTGCTGGGGTCCGCTGAGAGGAGATCTGCCGCAAGAAGGTCGATGTCGCTGTGACTCAGCGCCGGCTCGCGAGATCCCTCCCTCATCTCAATGTGGCAGATGAGGCAGAGCTGCACGCGTGGAGGGGCAAAGGGCGGGGCTGAAAAGCGCTTCTCCTGCAGCTGCAGATGAAGCGGAGCTCGCACTGCGGAGAGGCGAATCACGCATTCGAGGTGGCGTGATGGAGAGCTTGGATGACCCACGCTTCCGTGCCCATCGCGATGAGGACTTTCTGCGCGACAACCCGCTGGACAACACCAATATCATGCAATGTGCTCATCCACGGCACTGACAGACTGACACTCACACGGACAAACAATGAGTGAATGAGTGAGTGTGCTGTCTTGGCTGAGTGCAGATTTCTACGGTTCACCATTTTACGACTCGTCGGCGCTGAACGAGCGGCTGCGGCGAGGCGAAGAGGTGCCTGAGTGAGTCAAACAGACAAGCAGAGAGCGGCGAGACAACCGCTGTGACTCATGCGAGTGTGTTTGCTTGCGTGTGTGTGTTTGCAGTGATTTGGATGGCGTCGAGTATCGCGTGGTGCAGTCGATTCCCATGGAGGAGCTGCAGCAGCGGGGACTCATCACCTTCTCAGACCTCTGGATCATCGCCAAATTGACGCGAAAGGCCAACGTCACGCACCCTACAAACGTACACTGACCGACTGACTGACTCACTCGTGGGTTGCTGCCTCACCACTGGTTGTGTGCTGCGTGGTCTCTCTGTGTGTGTGTGTGGTGCAGACGTATTACGTGTTGGACAGTGTGATTTACGAGGCGCCATCTCTGCTGCGGCTGCTCAACAAACGCCTCACGGACACGGCCACCAGCCTCGGTCGGTCAGCAGCCGAGATCGATGCCCACTCTCTGTATGTGTGTTGATCTGTGTGTGTGGTTCAGATGAGTGGTTTGAGACGGTGAGGGGGCTGTGGCGCTTCTCGCTTAGTCACGGCTACGAGTGGCGCACCGAAGGCACCACACGGACCGCTGCCAAGGAAGGCGCCCACCGGGCGTCAAAGCAGAGGAGGACTTACCCTGCCGGTGTGGACATATCGCTCTGCACCTTCAAGCGGCGCCGCTTCACCTTCCTCGCAGACGCACTCCACAGCCGGGCCGCACGATTCGCCAGGGACAAACAAACGTGAGCCATCCATCCATCCATCCATGTGTGTGACATCGGATGTGTGTGTCTGTGTGTAGGTTTGTGGATGAGCATCGCGAGTTCTGCTCTCAGCCGCCGCAGAATGAGTTCTATGGGCTGCAGGCCGCCATGCCGGCCCCAGCTGGAGACCAACAGACACAGAGCGGCGCCCCAATTGCTGCTGCTGCTGCTGCTGCTGGTGTCCGTGTTGCTGACCATGATGTGCAGAGTTAGCTGGATCGATCAGTGTGTGTGTGTGTGTGTGATGTATATACTAGTGTGACGACCTCTGATTGACTCGTGGACAAGATTTCTCTGTCCGCAAATTGCACATCGGTCACACACCGTCAGTCAATCGGTCAATCTGGCGAGGGCAGTGAGTTCGATCCAAACTCGTGTCAAGTCAAACCATTCCATCAATTCAGTCCATCGTGATTCAGCTCAGTTGTTTCTGTCGGGGCCCCTCCTCTGTGTGAGGTCAGAGGCCGCCTGTTGGCGCTATCGAGATAGCGTCTACTGGATGCTCTGTTGACACTTCTTGCCTTACAGACGACACAAAGTTCACTCAAGCTCTGAACCACACCCCTGTCGACCCTAGCGGAAGGCTGATGCCCCAGACGGAGAGAAAGAGCAGCACACCGACACACACGCACTCATTACACATACATACACACACAGACACACACATATCTATCTCTCTCTCATCACTTATTCACTTATGCTCCCATGTCTCTGTCTCGCAGCAGTCGGAGCGTGATTGCTTCATGCCCCCCTCTGCAATTGAGCTTCGCCAGCGCCATCTTGGTCAGCACGCGGCACGCGAGCCGTCGTCGTTTACCGATTGACCGAGAAGAGTGCCCGAATCATCACACACGCCATCAGCTGACCGGCGTTCAGCAGCAACTCGCCATCAAAACACGCCATCACCCCACGATCTGCCGCACGTCGCCACACATCCCACTTGCTCGTCACACGCAGCGCCTGTTGGGAACCTCTTGTCTCGTTTGATGTCGCATTCTCTGTTGCTTGAAGAGCTGCTGAACCGTCGTTTGCGGGGGGGTGGGAAAGGGAAGAGCCAAGGACGCTGAAACGGTGCTGGAGAGACGGATTGATCTGCATACGACCGCCGAGGAGAGGGCACAGGCAGGTGCTTTGCTTTGTGGGTTGTTTCCTTTTCTGTGTGCTTACGTTGTGCAGATCAGCCTGCTCCATATGATGTTGGACCCTGCCGTGCTCCTCGCCATTTGACATCGACTGAATACGAGACACAGAGACATGCATGAATGCCTCCTCTGGTGCCCGAGGTCCATCGATTGTCATCTCACCTTGAGCAGCTTCGCCAGATTGGACCTTGACCAGCACACGTTGACAGAAACCCTTCCACTCGGCTATCTCCCTCGTCTGGTGCTCTCACCAGCTCGACTGCCTTTTCGAGGTGGTACTTTGCCTTGTCAACTTCACCCACCAACTCCAGAACCTTACTGAAAGCAAACAAGACATATAGAGTGATACACACACAGGGAGGCATGCCAGTAAGCTGACGCATCCTTTGTTGTTGTGGAGCTGTGGTGCGTCAGGCCTCAGCAGCAAGGCCTCATCATAGAGGCTCTTCGCCTCTTCTAGCCGGTCCTGTGGCGACGGAAGGAGCATCTCTGCATGTAGGTCTGGGTGTCTTGCTGTGTCGTATGAAAGCTTACCGGTCTGTGTAGCCTCAGCAAATTCGCGAGATTGTTCTTCGGCTCAGGAGATTCTGGGCTCTGACGAACAGACAGACTTCAACGGGGCAGCAGCTCGCCATGAGGACTGCGATCTACTTACGATCAGCACGGCCCGCCTCCACAGCCTCTCTGCCTCGTCAATGCGGTCTGTCTCACACGGCAAGGAAGAGACATGTATGACACATTCGTACATCTGCCAAGAATGGCAGCAGATCTAGGTGGCGGAGTATTACTAGTGAAGAAGAGCAGGTGGGCCAGATTGTTGAGGACATGGGTGTCGTTGGCGTCGATCTCTATGGCCTTCCGATACATCCACTCGGCCTGAGTGTAGTCACCGAGATGACAAAGTACTAGTCCGTAGTGACCCACAATGTCAGACCGCTCAGGACGCTGAGCAAGAATCACATCCTTCCAGCTCATGAGCTCTCACGTGATCTTGCTATGCTTCGCCGCGCACCAACGCATACAGCTCTTCAAGCAGTGGTTTCGCTTCTGTCGACCGCATTCTTGTTGGGTGGTCCAGATGAGTCGCCAGCTCATACATGGCGGAAACGTGCACTTCCTCGTCGTGTCTCAGCCCGAGGTACAGCCCCGCTGTCTCACCGAAGCCCTCACATTCATCCCCGCTCCTCTGGCAAGAGAATCGCCTCCTCGATAAGGAAATGCATTTGTCATAGCAGGCTTCGGCAGCTTCATATCTCTGTAGCTGCCGAGAGAGAAAAGGAAAGGAAAGACTCTTTGACAAGTCCATGCGGCTTCTGCTAGTAACCTGTTTTGCGACTCGAGCGGCCGCAAGGTGTGCTGGTGGCCACTCCGGGCAGAGTGCGAGCGTCTTGTTGATGTGATGGGACACCAGGGAGACACTGGAAGGCTGGGTTGCCTGCAGCACCGAACAAGAAGGGTGTGGTGAGAGCGACAGCAGCATGAGGGAGGTGTCGGTCTACCAGAAGGAATCTTGCATATGCGAGATGACCCTCACAGAAAGAAGGTGCCTGCGCAGATTCGCACAGATGTACAGACCGATCAACCTGCCAGCCCATCAACCTGTCTCAGCAGATGCTGGAACTGATTCCGTGCGACATTCTGATGATGCCACCTCTCCGAATCATCCTGGCATGACACACGGACACATCGAATTTCCCTCAACCCGTGTGTCGGGCCTCACTTGGTCAGTCTGGGCCAAGGCAGCTGTCCCCTCGGCCATTAGCAGACCGGTGCTGACATTGAACGAAGACGAGTTCGCCTGCATTGCGCATTGCAGCGCTTGCTCAGGGTCCCTCTCCAGATACAGACGGCCAAGATCTGCCCATGCTGCTCCATCATTTGGAGTCTGAACGTAGGACACAGCCGTCTGCCCAGCTCAGGCCGGCACGTCCCTGTGTGCCCACCTTTTCAAGAGCCCTGACGAAGTGACGTTCAGCGACCTCGAAAGTGGCTGCCAACCTTCCAGCCGCCTGAGCCAATCGCGAGCGGTATGGTGGGTCAGACGCAGCAGCTGTTGGTGTAGGATGGGACTGGAAGAGCAGAAAAGAATGCACAGAGAAGTTCGGTGCCAAACGCCGCACGTCGCTTACCTGAAGTGATAAGAGACACGGCATTGAAGAGATTGAGGCAAGTGTCCCCCCTTTGCCGCGATTCTCCCCCAGCACCTCCAACTGCAACGAGTGATAAGAGAGGAATCAAACCAGGGCAGACCCCTCACCTACCCACCCTACCATTGTCTTGCCATCCCAGCACACCTCTCCGGCTTCTCCCCCAGCACGCAACACGGCGTCCACCAGCGCCAGATGACCCATCTCGCAGCCAAGCAGCCGAACACATGCATCATGGACGCCATGGGGCCTCCACCTGACTCCTGCATGACCAACAACACAGCCAGGAAGCCGCATACGAGAGCAGCAGAGGCGGGCAAGAGGGAAGGTCCCAGAAGGCCGTAAATCCTCATCAACAGAACCAGGAACGAGAGGGGGTGCAGTGGAGATGTCTTCACAGGCCAGGCCCTGTTGACGGCTCAGCACCGCCAGACACCCATGACAATGACCAGCGGAAGATCTCAGCTGTCATTGTGGTCAGACACCGCCGGGAAAGGGCCCTTGAGCGTACAGTACACAGTGTGAGCCTATCTGTCGGTCCGGAGAGACTCGGGCCCGAGTTTTTCCAAGAGAGAGAATTCCGTCGCGAGCTTCAAGTTGAGCTCGCAAAAAGCTCCGTTCCGGTGGCTCCCGCTCGCAGTGACTCTCTCCCGCCACGCCAGTCGTCGTGGAGATGTCGTTGCCATCGATGGATGCTTATTCTGACCGCGAGAAGTACGAGCAGCACGTCAAGCAGGAGCTCCACATGATTGACAACGACCTCAAAGACTGGTTCCTCACGCGCAGAATCGGCATCGAGGTCACAACAACGGCAGACAGGCAGACACACACACAGATCTTAGGGGCAGGCAGGCAGACAGGCAGACACACAGACACACACATATCTTGTTGCCGGAGATCTGTGTGCCTGTTGTGTGTTGGGGTGTGCTCCTGGTGGTCGCAGAAGGCGCAGGGTATGAGGAAGCAGCTTGAGAGTCTGAATGCGACGGGCCTGGCGATGAACAACGCTGACGTGCCGCCGACACAGATGGTCCTGTGGAACGACATCGTCCAGGGAAGGGTAGGCACAAACGAAGACAGGCAGAAGGGCCAATCGATCCTTCATGCACACACCTGCCTCTATGTGCGTGTGTGTGCTGTCAGCCCGACATGGAGGACTCCCTCAGTACGGACGCCAGGGAAATGAAGGTGGGGCGGGTACCAGACACAGAGCCCTGCAGACACAGATCTCTCTCTCATCGCCGACTTGCCTGTGTGTGTCAGGCTGAGAAGTACATGAAGCTGTTCAAGGACTCGACCACCGTCCAGCACCCGTGCCGCATTCCTGGTATGGGTGTGATGAGCCCTTCTCCCCCCTTCTTTCTTCGTCCGTCCATCTGTCCATTTATCCATTCTGCCTTGTCAGGCGTCGCGTACCTGCGGTGTCTGCACGAGAACTTCAAGGAGACCTCACAGGTAACTCACACACGCAGAGGCACGATATGCAGCGAGCCGCACTTGTATCCTGTGTTGGTTGTCTTTATCTGTTGTGTTGGTTTCGTTGTGCAGGCCCGCACCAAGAAGTGCATGTACTCGTTCACGTCTTTCGACGCCTGCCGCAAGGCCCTCCTCAAACAACAGAGCGTCGCCATGGAGTAAGCAACATGCACATGCACAACACACATGGCTGGCCAGAACAGGCAGAAAGACATCCATCCACACGTGTGCGTGCGTGCGTGTGTATGGATGTCTGTGTGTGTATGTTTGTGTGTCAGGAATGCCATGACACGGCAGGATCTCGCGGATCGGAGGGCCAAGGTGAGGAGGCAGCACATCACAAGCTCTCACACGTGGCTTCGTGCGTGAGTGCATCCATGTGCGACCGTATATGCATGATCAGGCCATGTTTGAGAGGCGTGCGGTGCTGCTGGACAGCCTCTCGGGGCAGCCAGGACAGTGAATGAGCCAAGACTTCTCCGCTAACTGACACTGTCTGACACCCTTTTGCCTGCCTGCCTGCCTGTCTGCCTGCGTGATATCGCGCCTGCCTTGATGTGTCTTGATGCATTCCTCCATGTGTGTGGGTCGTTGAATCAACGACAGACAGAGAGATATGGGTGGGGGGTGGCCTGAATGGCAGCCGAACGTGTGTGTGAGTGAGCTGTGCCTGCCTGCCTGCTGCGTGCATGTGTACGTCATATGCTATCGATCGTGTCGGATGAGTCATATGTGTGAGGGAGGATAGCCAGTGCCTTGGATGATGGGACGGTTAGGGCGCGTGGCAGCACAGCGTCGTTTGCTCTGCCCGCTCCTGCATGGGAGGCACGAGCGATCCCCCCACACACATGGCGGACCGAATGGACGGATGGATACCAGGGATAGACAGACTTCTCATGACGGGGGATTGTAAGGTGCTGTGCCGATGGATGCATTAGGCGTGTTTTCACGATTTGGTTGCTGTCTGGCGACTTTCCTCCTGCTGATACAGCGTGTGCCGATGCCACGGCACGTGCTGGATCAGCAGGAGGAGGCTCCCGACACAGCAAACAGATCTTGACAAACACACCAAGCACACACACGCGCTTGTTCTACTCACTCTCTCTCTCTCTTCATCGGGGTTGTGTTGATTTTGAGCGTGCCCGTGTCCGTGCGTTGAGCGAAAGCTCAAGTGTTTTATGCGGGGGGGAAGGTCTGAGAGGCCGCTGTTTGACAGAGATGCAGTCGCACCAGCCTTTGATGCGACGGCCGCCCACCAGAAATGGCACCCCACACATACACACACACGTGTTGTGTGTGGGGCTGAAAGGGGCTGGCTGGCCTGTCATCTGCAGTGAGTCAAATGCTCGAAACGCTGCGTGGCCCTCTCTGTCGGAGGGTCAGCAGCGAACTCAATTCAGACTAGTCCTGCACAACCCCCAACACACAGGGAGAGAGAGAGGGAGACGGCGGGAGGAATGTGTGTGGTTTCGGTGAGACGTGCGGTGAGTTGTTTCCATTTGTTATGTCTCGTGATATTGGCTATACGGGACGCTTGCGTGTCGTTGAATGCACTCACTCCAAAATTCGTTGACGCTCGCCACGTGTGGCCTCCGAGTATGACAGCACTCGCCAGTCAGCCGGTCATTCCACGGCACGGCACGGCAGACACACCACAGCACAACGTCCGAAAACGGCCACAACACGTGTATGTGTATGTAAGCAGGCATATGTACACGCGAAGGATAGCAAGCGTACACACATCCTGTCAGTCATGCAAAAAGTGTGTGTATGCATGCACTTAGCGAACCACATCAAGCAACCGACCCTCTCCCTCCCTCTAGTGCTACAACAGTCATCTCTCGCAGAGTAGATGGATACCGGACTGTCTGTCTGCCTGTCTGTCTGTCTGTCTGCGCGTCGGAGTGTCTGCCTGTCTGTGTCGGTGCGTCAGGCCTGAGGTGGCGCGAGCTCGACCACCTTGACGCGCGGGTTGCCACCATACTTGCCTGCATAACGCCACACACACAAATCGATGCATTTGTCGTCTCTCTCTCCCTCTCTCTCTCTAAGTGTGTGTGTGTCTGTAGGTGTCTGTGTGCCGACCGATGACGTGTTGTTTGATTTCGTAGTGCGGTGTGAAGAAGAACCACTGCTTCTGCGGATTGGCCATGGCCAGCTCAAACAGCAAATCCATGCTGGGAGGTAGACCACACACATCAACACACCACACACGCACCATATCAATGCAGTCGTCTCTGTGTGTCATTGTTCAAAGCTCACTGACTTGCGTATGCGATTGACTTCGTCCATGTAGACGTCGGGCTCGTCGAACAGGTGCACTGGGAAGTCCTCCAGCTGCGCAAACGCCATCAACAATGCACACTGAACCTATAGAACGCACATACACACACAGGCAGATGGTGTCGTGCTGTGCGGCTGATGTCCCATTGCCCCATCCACCGATCCGCTCACCGTGCTCTTCTCCCCCCCGCTAAGGCTTTTGAGGTCTTTGGTGACCAGCTGCTTGTCCCGCTGGACACTCTGGCTGCCCACATCCTGCGTGTTGACCACCTCAACGTCTATCGAATACGTCTCCGACAACACTGCCGATTCGTCACGCTCACGGTCACGGCTGTTGTCGCGCCGGGCCTGCTGTCGTCTGCGGTTGTTACTGCGGCCGCCCTCTTCCTGGTCGCTGTCGGCATCGTGGTCCTGCTCGCCTCTCTGCCGCGGCTTGTGACGACGGAAACCCAGATTGCCTGCACACAGGGGTGGTAAGGGGCGTGTTGTGTGTTGGGGGAGAGGGAGGGGTCAAATGGGGCGTGGGGCTGGTCAGCTACCTTGCCAGTTGATGGTGTTAGCGCAGCACTGCTGGAAAGTCTTCTTCATTTTGGCGCGCTGGGCTTGCTCGGCCTCCAACACCTTCTCGGACCGCCTCAAGTAGTTCTCCTGCGCACACACACACACACACACACTCGTTCATGTCACACCCACTATGGTGCGGGCATCCGTCGATTGTGGTGTGGGCATTGGTTGACCTTGGCTTTCTTCTCGACGGCTTCGATTCCGTTGACGCGGGCCTCGATGTCCTTGAGCCGCCGCTCCGCCTCGGCCGCCTCGCGCTCAGCTTGCTGCACCCACCACACACACACAAGCAAGGCAAGAAGTGGTGAGCAGAGGAGATGTGTGTTGTCGCGTTGTGCTGGTAGGTACCTCGGGAGTTTTGCCCTGCTGTTTCTCCATCTTTTCGATGTAGAGCTTGAGCTTACGCGCCTCCTTCTTGTACGCCTGACGCACCACACACCACACACACAAGACTATCATCTGTACTGGACCCCCCTGCACCCCCTCTCCCCAGGCACCTCAGCGGTCATGGTGACGTCTTCCGGTGGGTCGCCCATCTCTTCGGCCTCGGCATTGAGCCGCTCCCGCTTGACGGTGATGTTGTGCTGGATGGTCTCCTGGTCGCGCTTGGCGTCCTCGGTCCGCTTCGACACCTTCTGCTGCGCTTCGGACAGCTGTGTGTGCTCCGTCTCAAGCTCGGCCTTTCGCTGCCACACACACAGACACGTGTGACAGATCGTTTTGGTTCTTTTGTGGAGCGTGGGTGTGTGTGGGTTAGGTACGTTGTGCGCGGGTCTGAGGTGCTGTTCAGCCCATGTCTTTGCCTCGGTCTGTTTGGCGGTGAATGCCTGCTCGTGGCGGCCCTTGTCCTGCTGGATGGTCGAAAGCTCCCCCTGGGCCTTGGTCACGTGCTCCTGCACACGCGACGCACGTATTGAGAAGTGCATGGCATGCAGCAACACGCACGCATCATGGCCATCACAGGGACAGGAGCCGGTGTGTGTCTGTTGTGGTTTGTAGGCACCTGCAGGTTCTTGATGCTTGTGTCCAGCTGCTCAAGATTGGCGTCGATGCTGCTCGTGTCAACCTGCACACGCACGCACACACACAAACAAGAAGGTGGATGGGTGAGTGAGTTAGTGCACTCCTTCCGTGTGTGTCTCACCTACCTCCCGCTGCGCGTCGATCTGCACGTGGTCGAGCTTCTCGTTGAGCTTCACCTCCTGCGCAAGGGCCTTCTCACGCTGGCTGTTGAGCTGCCGGATGTTGCTCTCAGATTGCTGCACAACATACAGACACCCACACACGCACGGACGCACAGACAGGGAGGGAGGGAGGGAGGGGAAGTGGTGCAGGTCGCCACTGTCATGTGAGGTGCCTGCCACATGCTGCGAAGAGCCCACCTGACCTGTCTGGCTTGTCTGATCTGTTGCTCCTGGTTGGCGATGCGCTGCACATCGGCGCGGGCCTGACCGTGCTCCTGAGCGCAGCGGGCGTCCTCGGCCTGGGCAGCCTGGCAGCACACAAGACACAGACAGACAGACAGACACGGACACGGACGGGGTGGGAAGGCAGGACCGATTGCGATTGCGTGTGGGTGTGCGTACGTGCCTGAATCTGTGCGGTTTTGTCGATGTCCTCGTTGATGTACTCCAGGGCCAGCCGGCGCTCGCTGCCAGCCATCCGAGGGTACATCACACCTGCACACACACATGCAACTCATGACACACACGTAGGCCTCCATCCTTGGTGTGCACACACAGCTCCGTCCAGACATACCGAATCCGCCGGTTCCGCCGTAGTTGCGGCGGCCGAAGGAGAAGCTCGCCAACTCGTACACCTGAGTGATCTTCCCTATGCTGACAAAGTTGGCACAGAGGAGGGAGGGAGGGAGGGAGAGGGAAACACCCACACCCGTCATCCACCTCGGTCGCCTTGGTGCCATTGATTGCCCACGCCAACCCCCCCACCTATTGTCATGCAGGATTTGGTTCTGTGTGTCGCGGTCTCGTGTGATGATGGTCGTCACGGCCCCCTTGTCGGCCATGTGGTTGAGCACTACCGGAGGCATCTTGCCCTTGTCCAGACACCGCCACACACTCAGCAGCTGACCCGCAATGCCCCCGTCGTCACGGCTGACGTCATACACACCGCCGCGGAAGCGCGACACACGCTGAATCTGCATAACACACACACACAGAGAGAGGGGCAAGGATGCACACAGGCATTCAGGCGTGGCCTAGGGTGGGTTGCTGTGTACCTGAAATGCCGGCAGCTGCCCGGCTCGCTGTGGGCGACCGAAGGCCTCTCGAGGCAGCCCACAGTCCATCAGGATTTGCTGACACCAACACACACACACACACACATGCCAGCAGGAAGGCATGCCAGCCCCGCCCCTCCCTTCCTCCGTATGTGTGTCGATCTCACCTTGAGTGAGTTCTCCTGGTCCTTGGACAGCGAGGGCACGATGAACGTGGTGAGGCTGTTTCTGAAGATCTTCTCTATCAAACACATGACGGCCATCCGCTCCGCCTCAGTGCCCCCCAGCCCGTCGTGCTGCCGCAGCTGGTCCCTGCCTGCGACGCTGATGAAATACCCCACCGGCCCCACCGGCACCCCATCCGGGAAGAGGTGGCTACGCTCCTGCAACACCCTCTGAACACGCTCCACCTACGACACGCCCACACACATACACACGAGGTGAAGGTGGTTTGGGTGGTTTGCGTCCGTCCATACGTCGTAGCCGTAAGTGGCTTTGAGTCTGTTGGGTCTGTTGTGCTGCTGCCCCTGCCCCTGCAGCGCCGCGAGCTTCCGTTTCGCGTCGGCGGCCGCTGCCTGGGCCTCGCTCTCCCGCTCACGCGCCACACGCATCTCACGACTGAGCGATTCCGCCTCCTTCTGACGGGCCTCGGCTGCCGCATGAGTGTCCTGACAGACAGCGAATACATCCATCCGTCCATCCAACCGTGTGTAGAGTGGTGTGAGTGAGTGCACGTTTGTATGGTGTGGTATCTGTGTGTACCGCCAGCTGCTTGGAGGCAGTTTCCTGCTGCTTGGTGAGCTGGGCCAGCTTCTGCAGTCAGTGGTGGAAACACACACACATACATACACACACGGATGGATGGATGGAGGCGTGTGGGAGGATGTGACATGTGGTGTGGGTCACTCCCTCCCCTCCCCCTCTCTCTGTATGTCAATCGGCTCGCTGACCTCCTTGATGGCTTTGATCTGCTGGTCCACCTCCTCCGTTCTGTCGCGCAACAGACCCGCTCGCTGACAGACAGACAGACAGACAGACACCAATCTCGTCAGTCAATTGTCATCCCATGCATCGACCCATCCCATCCATGTGTGTGTGTGGTTGGCTGCCTGTGTGTCGAGTTGTTGTTTGTCGTGTCGCCTGTTGGCCAGCTGGGTCCGCAGCTGCTGCACCTCGGCCTGCTTCTCCTCCTTGGCATGCTTGGCGCTCTCTACCTTCTCCCTCAGCGCCTGCATCTCCTTCCGGTAGGTGTTCTTCTGCTCACTCAGCCCGCGCAACTCCTACACACACATAGATACATCTATGTGTGTGTGTGTCTTGGTGTGGTGTGGTGTAGTGGGGTGCAGTGAGTGAGTGAATTACGTCAGTGGCCTTCTGCAGGGCTTCCTCGCACTCCTTGAGGCGTGTGTTGACGTCGTCGGCCTCCTCCTGGCGGCTCTCCTCGTCGGCTACCATCTTCTGAAAGGCCGCCTCCTCACTCTCAAGCGCCTTCTGCTCGTGATACAGCTTCGCATACGGCACCATCGCCTCCAGCCTGCACGCCACACACACACACACACACACACACAGAGGGAGGGGAGTGTGTGTCTTTGGTGTGTGTGTGTGTGTCTGGTGTGGCTGGTGGGTCACCGCAGTTGGTCAGAGATCTTGTCTTTGAGCTGTCGCATGTTAGTGGCTATCTTGTTCTTGTGCTTGAGCTCACGCTGCGCCTCTGTGCGCTCCTCCTACACACACACACACATCCACACACATCCACACAGACATGGAGGGACCATTGCCGTGCGGTGTGTTGTGTTGTGGTTACGATGCTGCTGCTGAGTTTGTGCTGCGTCTGTTCGTGTTCCTTCTTTTCCTTCTTGAGCTCCTCGAAGCACACGCTGAGGCCAGTGGTGCGCACAAACATGTCATACAGCTGAGACACACACACAGACACACACACACAGAAGGAAGGAAACAGTCAGTCAGGTGCAGAGGAGTGGTGGTGGGAGGGGAATGTGACCTCGATCCCTGAGGTATCCTTGAGTAGCGTCTTCGACCGTGCTTGATGCAGGAAGACGATGGGATTGTCGAGCTGAGAGATCACACAGACAGACAGACAGACAGACAGGCCAACAGGCAGCACGCATCGATCCTGCGCGCACAACCGTTGTGTGTGTGTGTGTGTGAGTGAGTCCGTACGTTGAGCTTGAGTGCGTCGCGGAGGGCCTCGAAGTCCTTGTGCTTGTCGCCCGTGGCGCCGCCAGAGCCCTTCAGAATGTACTTGCTGCGCCCGCTCCTCCAGATCTCCCTGGGCGCATGCCGTTCCACACACACGAGAGATATGTGTGGTGCGGTGCGCTGCCGTCTGTTGGCCTGGCGTGGCCACGCTCCCCACCCCCCCAAGCCACCACGTACCGCTTGAGTTCGATCTCATCGCCCATGTCGTCAGGTTTGTATGCCTCAGGTCCGCGGTTGGTGAGTGTGAGGGTGACGACGGCCTTGGATGGGCCGTTGGCATCCATGTCACGGATGTACTTTTTGATGGTCTGCCCACGCCCCGCATTTTGGCCTTGCAGACCCACCACCAGAGCTATCGCAGACGTCAAAGCACTCTTGCCAGCTGCACACACAACACAACACAATACTGGCGGCGCATGTAGGAGATCTTGTGTGTTTCTTCCCTCACAGCCATTGGGTCCGACGATGAGGTTGATGGAACTGCAAACACACACACACACACACACCACACGCACACACACGTGCACGCCGCGCATGTGCGCGGCGTGCATGTGTGCCGGGTGTGCAGCGTGGCTGTGCGACTGACTGACCTGGCCGGGTCGAAGGCCACCCGTTCGTGGTTCATGAAGTTCTGGAGCTCCAGTCGCTTGATCTTGCCGGCGTACTCCCACCCCCCGTCGTCCGCGTCGTCCATCTCAACGTCACCCATCCGTGTCGAAACGTACCAGTTCACGCCGCCCACCGATGGATGCCGGCAATGGAGCCGCTGCCTTCAAGTGGCTGCTTCGTCATTGCCATTGCCGCACCTGCACACACACAATGCACACAGCAGCTTGCGCTGAAAGTTTCGCGACGACTGGTGGAACTCTGTGTGTGTGTCTGTGTGTGTGAGCTGACCGGAATCGGAGGAGTGCGTCTTCTGGCGGCTTAGAAGAACGCATGTGCATCGATAACAACACCTGCTGCACGGCACACAACAGAGAGGTGACAGAGATCTCAAACTTTGTGCCGTCAATTGAATGTGCGAGTCTTTCTGTCTGTCTGTCAATGCCTTCTCACCTCTATGCAACCACAGCAGCTCAAGAAACGTTGCTTCTCGCCGGGATCGTTGCGAGCTTGGAGAGATCTCCGCGACGAAGATGAAGAGGCCTGTGTTTGGCTGCGGATGACTGCGTTTGACCAGCACTTGTGAGTATGCTTTTAATCGGGCCTCTGTTCGCGGCATGTCTTGTCCTCCGTTTCCTCACCGCCACGGGTGTGATGCCGCCGCCGACGGCTCGGGATCCATCGCCCCTCATACCCAACGCCTTCATCCTCCCACCCCTGCACAGCCAGCCAACACTCAGCGCAAGGCCGCGGCCGCGCCACACCCTTATCGCAGCCATCGAGACGGAGAGGGACGTCGACAGCGCACTGCAGCTGCTAGCACAAGACGACCGACCGGCCGCCATTGACGATGCCGCCGTCGCGGCATCAACGAATCGCAGGGTCAGCAACGAGTACACCTTGCCCGTGAGCACGCGGCTGCCGATGCCCCGCTCTCGCCTGGCGAGTGTGTTGGAGAGGCTTGAGGAGCTGGTGCCGCCATCTCAGTCCCCCATGCGCTTCCGCAACAGGGTTAAGGGTGTTCTCAAGACGGCAGCCAATCGGGCACAGAGGCGGCGGACACTGCGGGAAACCAGGAGGCGAAAGCGGCACCAGGTCAACGGCAACGGCGAGGGGCCATCGGCTCAGGAGATCCCCTCACAACCGCGAGGCTTTCAAGTCGATGAGGCGGCTGGAACATCAGCCGAGGCCGAGTCAGCCAAGGCCAACAACCACGGGCGTCTCGAGAGCAGCAGCAGTCGTGTGTCCCTCCGTCCATGGCGGCCTGTCCCGCGAAGCGGCCACAGGCCGCCCGACGGGGAGAGAACAGTAAAGGCCAAGAAGGGCTTTGTGGAGGTGGAGAGAGAGGTGTCGTGGATCCCTGCCGAGGAGAGGGAGAAGATCGCTGAGATGCGGCGGCAGCTGAGTGCCGACCTCGCCGACCTCCCGCCATGGCCGGAGCTGGTGGGCGACATCCGGCTGCTGCGCTACCTGCGCAAGTGCAACGGCGACAGCGAGGCGGCTGTGCGGCTGTACCAGTCGACGATTGTGTGGCGGCGGGAGAATGATGTCGACCGCATCCGTGAGGACATCGTGCAGAACCGGCTGACCATCCAGGACATCGTCAACGGCCGCGTGCAGTTCCTCATGCTCGACGAGGCCAATATGACGGCGGCCCCCAATGGGCAGCTCTTCAACGCCACGCAGGACGACCTCATCAGGTCGGGCAAGCGCATCCTCGATTTCCTGCCCATCGAGCTGGCGTACGGCTTCTCTGAGGAGACGGGCGAGATGGTGCAGTACCTCTCGGCGGGCAGGTGGAACACGCGCGGCATCGGGAGTGCCTGGATGGAGGGCAGGATCAATCGCGAGGAGTTTCTGCGCTTCTGGGTGTACATTGCCGAGGTGATATCCATAGAGGCGGACCGGCTGTCGCGACGACAGCGGCGGCTGACGCGCGTCCACGAGATCGTGGACGTGTCGGGGTGCTCGGTGGGGCAGGTGTCCAAGAGCTTCTTCAAGCTCCTCAAGCCGTGGGTGCAATTCGTCCAGAGCCACTACCCCGAGACCAACAGGGACATCCTCTTCTGCCGCACGCCCTTCATCTTCTCCTTCCTCTGGTCAGTCAGTGACGCGACGCCAGTCACACACCCTCACACACACCACAGAGACCATACCATCTCTCCCTCCCTGTCCGTACTGCACTGCACCCATATGTGTGTGTGGCATCAGGTCGGTGGTGACGAGTGTGAGTCTGCTGGATGACGCCACTTTGGCCAAGGTGAAGCTGCTGGACGTCGACGGCCCCCAGTTCATCGACTGGTACCGCAACTTCAAGGTCAGGCTACTCAGTGGATTCACCAAACGAGACCAACTCGACTACCTCCCCGAGAACCTCGTCCCCCTCAACGCACCCAGTAGCAACCACCACACCGTTCTCCACGCCACCGCACAGCAGCAGCAGCAGCAGCAGCCAGACGCAAAGCAGCCGCCAGAGATGTCTGGTGAAGGTCAAGAAGGAGTGCTCATCGACATAGGCGAGAAACAGGCGGTCGACGAGGAGGAGCCGATCGAGGAATTGCCGCCCCCGGCCCCGCTCATCCCGTCGTGGGCAGTGCAGCCGAGCGACAGGGTGCGGCAGCTGCGGGAGAGGCTGCGGGACGACCTGGCGGACGCGCCGGCCTACGACGACCTTGTGGGCGACTACCGGCTCATGAGGTACCTCACCGCTCACAAGACGGTCGACGCAGCGGCTGAAAGGTGAGCAGCAAGGACGATGACGGTCACACACACATTTGTGGTGCCATTGTCGATCGATGTATGCGCATCAGGTATCGCAACACACTACGGTGGCGCTCCGAGGAGGGCGTGGACGCCTTGCGAGCAGACCTCACGCGCAGCGACGCGTCGATCGAGTCATTCCCCGGCGCGACTGAGGTGCTCAAGTACCTCAGCGTCGGATTCGCCATGCCAGCCACTTCTGGCGACGAGAATGACGACAATAGCGGCCATCCGTCGGTGCCCACCGCCTACATCGGCCTCCGTGACACTGCTGGGCTGGTGAAGGCGATCGACAGAGGGGATCTCACTATGGTCGGCCGCTGACAGCCACAGGGCAGCAGGAGGATCGATGGCCTCACTCACTCTCTCTCTGTGTGTGCGTGTGTGTGTGTGTGTGTCAGGGTGAGTTTCGCGATTTTTGGCTGCATTACAGCGAGTACGTGACGATCCAGGTGGACAGGCTGTCGTGGCGAGAGCGGGGACCCGTATACATCAGACAAGTCATCGGACTGCACGTAGGGCTTTATCCGTCCATCCATCCATCCATCCCTACTGCATTGCGCTCTGTGTCGGTTGTGTCATGTGTGCAGGAGCAGCGCCAGAGCAAGCTGCCCCCTCGTCGATTCTTCACGTTGTTTCGCGAGATCATCGGTTTCCAGGAGCAGCACTACCCCGAGACCACCTCCCAGATCGTCATTCAGAGCTCCAACCCCGTCGTGTACCTCGCGCTGCAAATCGTCAAAGCACTCGGGTGGGTGGG